GTTTTGGATCAGTTGGGTTTGGATCAGTTGGGTTGAGATCAGTTGGGTTTGGATCAGTTGGTTTGGATCAGTTGGTTTTGATCAGTTGGTTTGGATCAGTTGGGTTTGGATCAGTTGGTTTGGATCAGTTGGTTTGGATCAGTTGGGTTTGGATCAGTTGGGTTGGATCAGTTGGGTTTGGATCAGTTGGGTTTGGATCAGTTGGGTTGAGATCAGTTGGGTTTGGATCAGTTGGTTTTGGATCAGTTGGTTTGGATCAGTTGGGTTTGGATCAGTTGGTTTGGATCAGTGGGTTTGGATCAGTTGGGTTTGGATCAGTTGGTTTGGATCAGTTGGGTTTGGATCAGTTGGGTTTGGATCAGTTGGTTTTGGATCAGTTGGGTTTGGATCAGTTGGTTTGGATCAGTTGGGTTTGGATCAGTTGGTTTGGATCAGTTGGGTTTGGATCAGTTGGGTTTGGATCAGTTGGGTTTGGATCAGTTGGTTTGGATCAGTTCGGTTGGATCAGTTGGTTTGGATCAGTTGGCTTGGATCAGTGGGTTTGGATCAGTTGGGTTTGGATCAGTTGGGTTTGGATCAGTTGGGTTAGGATCAGTTGGGTTTGGATCAGTTGGTTTGGATCAGTTGGGTTTGGATCAGTTGGTTTTGATCAGTTGGGTTTGGATCAGTTGGTTTGGATCAGTTGGGTTTGGATCAGTTGGGTTTGGATCAGTTGGGTTTGGATCAGTTGGTTTGGATCAGTTGGGTTGGATCAGTTGGTTTGGGTCAGTTGGTTGGATCAGTTGGTTTGGATCAGTTGGTTTGGATCAGTTTGTTTGGATCAGTTGGGTTTGGATCAGTTGGGTTGAGATCAGTTGGGTTTGGATCAGTTGGTTGAGATCAGTTGGTTGAGAGAAGTTGGGTTTGGATCCGTTGGTTTGGATCAGTTGCGTTGAGATCAGTTGGTTTGGATCAGTTGGTTTTGGATCAGTTGGGTTTGGATCAGTTGGGTTTGGATCAGTTGGGTTTGGATCAGTTGGTTTGGATCAGTTGGGTTTGGATCAGTTGGGTTGAGATCAGTTGGGTTGAGATCAGTTGGGTTGAGAGAAGTTGGGTTTGGATCAGTTGGGTTGGATCAGTTGGTTTGGATCAGTTGGTTTGGATCAGTTGGTTTGGATCAGTTGGTTTGGATCAGTTGGGTTCGGATCAGTTGGGTTGAGATCAGTTGGGTTTGGATCAGTTGGTTTGGATCAGTTGGTTTGGATCAGTTGGTTTGTATAAGTTGGGTTGAGATCAGTTGGGTTTGGATCTGTTGGGTTTGGATCAGTTGGGTTTGGATCAGTTGGGTTGAGATCAGTTGGGTTGAGATCAGTTGGGTTGAGACCAGTTGGGTTTGGTTCAGTTGGGTTTGGATCAGTTGGGTTGAGATCAGTTCGGTTTGGATCAGTTGGGTTTTGATCAGTTGGGTTTGGATCAGTTGGGTTTGGATCAGTTGGGTTTGGATCAGTTGGGTTTGGATCAGTTGGTTTGGATCAGTTGGGTTTGGATCAGTTGGGTTTGGATCAGTTGGTTTGGATCAGTTGGGTTTGGATCAGTTGGTTTGGATCAGTTGGGTTGAGATCAGTTGGGTTGAGATCAGTTGGGTTTGGATTGGTTGGTTTGGATCAGTTGGTTTGGATCAGTTGGGTTTGGTTCAGTTGGGTTGAGATCAGTTTGTTTGGATCAGTTGGGTTTGGATCAGTTGGTTTGGATCAGTTGGTTTGGATCAGTGGGTTTGGATCAATGGGTTTGGATCAGTTGGGTTTGGATCAGTTGGGTTTGGATCAGTTGGGCTAGGATCAGTTGTGTTTGGATCAGTTGGTTTATATCAGTTGGGTTTGGATCAGTTGGTTTTGATCAGTTGGGTTTGGATCAGTTGGTTTGGATCAGTTGGGTTTGGATCAGTTGGGTTTGGATCAGTTAGGTTTGGATCAGTTGGTTTGGATCAGTTGGTTTGGATCAGTTGGGTCAGATCAGTTGGTTTGGATCAGTTGGTTTGGATCAGTTGGTTTGGATCAGTTGGTTTGGATCAGTTGGTTTGGATCAGTTGGGTTTGGATCAGTTGGGTTTGGATCAGTTGGGTTGAGATCAGTTGGGTTTGGATCAGTTGGTTTGGATCAGTTGGGTTGGATCAGTTGGGTTGGATCAGTTGGTTTGGATCAGTTGGTTTGGATCAGTTGGTTTGGATCAGTTGGTTTGGATCAGTTGGGTTTGGATCAGTTGGGTTTGGATCAGTTGGGTT